CCTTGCTGCGGGGGGGGGGGAGCGGACGGCAGTGAGGACAGGGACGTCCCCCCCCACCCCTGGCACCGAGCCCCTGGGGACCCCGCTCCGTCCCCAGGGTGCGGGGCAGGGGATGCTCGGGGGTGCCGGGTGAGCGGGCTGGGGGCCCGGCGCTGCAGGGTGGGGGCTGCGTTTTGTGCGAGGCAAGGCCCTGGCAGCGGCCCCGGGCTCACGGGGATCGGGCTGTTATATAAAGGCGAACAATGCTGCGGTTGTTCCTTCGCTGCCGAGCCCAAAAGTTGGCAGGGCCGGGGAGCCTCCAAATTGGACAATAATTGCTCACATCTGTTGGCTCACCTGCACCGTGGATGGGAACAGCGTGTGCCGGATCCAGCGCGCCGCCGCCGCTGCACTTGTTATGGAAGGGACGGTGAAATCTGGCCCCCGGGAGAGGCCAGAGACGGGATGCCGGGTGGCCCAAGGGTGAAAACCCGCAGCCTCGTGGGGCAGCTGGGGTGCCCCGGCCATGCTCCCGTTTTGGGGGTGCACACTTACACCTCGCTCGGTCCCAGCCACAGGGAGGGAAGCAGCCGGCCCCCCACCACGTGAAGGAATGGTGTGGTGCTACCGGCCCCGGGAGCTGGAGGGGTTACGGGGCCGGGGTCCTGCCGGGTCCCTGGCTGCGGGGTGGCCCCACACCGTCCAGGCTGACCCCGCGGACCAGCCACGTCCCCTGGGTGTCCTGGCACCCCCCGGAGACCATTTAGATCTGACATCCCCTGGTCATTCTGGCAGACCCCAGAGAGCCCCCTAATGGTGTGGTGCTACCGGCCCCGGGAGCTGGAGGGGTTACGGGGCCGGGGTCCTGCCGGGTCCCTGGCTGCGGGGTGGCCCCACACCGTCCAGGCTGACCCCGCGGACCAGCCACGTCCCCTGGGTGTCCTGGCACCCCCCGGAGACCATTTAGATCTGACATCCCCTGGTCATTCTGGCAGACCCCAGAGAGCCCCCTATTCCCCGGCCACCCTGGCTGACCCCACCCCATCCCCTGGGTGTCCTGACAAACCCATACCCCACGTCCTCTGGCTGTCCTGGCTGACCCCATAGACCCCCCCCTACCCCCACATGTCCCGGCAGACCCCCACGAGACCCCAGTGCCCTGGCCGTCCTGGCAGACCCACCGAAAAGCCTCATCCTGCCCCATCCCATCCTTTCCTTTCCCATCCCATCCCATCCTTTCCTTTCCTTTCCCAGCCCAGCCCAGCCCCGTCCCCAATCCTTTGGTGCCCTCTAGTGAGTCCCCAGCCCGGCCCCAGCCCCACAGGAGGGTCCTGTGGGCAAATAGGGGGGGAAAAGGGGCCAAATCCAGCCCCTGGTCCCCCCTCCCGTGCCGGGGCTGGCGGAGCCGAGCGGGCCCCAGCGCAGCTGTGTTGTCGGTCACCCAACAAAAGGCACGTTTCGGCTCTGACAAAATTCCCCACGTCTGCTCCAGGGGAGAACATTGCCCGTAATCACTGCTGGCAGGGAAACCTGGGCCCCGGCCCGGGCTGGCTCCTGCTGTCCTGGCATTGTCCCCGGGAGGGGACACACACACACACACACATCACAGGGCTCCCTGGGTCCTGGCTCGCTGCCCACCCGGGGAGCAGCATCCCCCCCGCAAACGCTCCGGGGTGCACGTTTGCTACCAGCCCTCCCGGCTCGTCCCGGGCTTTGCAGTTTGGCTTTGCTTATAGGGCCTGGGGAGGCGGCGGCGGGGGGAATGCTGCCCCCGTCCCCTGCGCAGGGGTAGACACCCCTCAGAGCCCAGGGGAGACCCAGCGAAGCCCAGTCCAACCCAGTTCAACCCAGTTACTGGTGCCTCCCGGAGGGGACGGCGGATGGCCGGGGTTGCCGCTGTGCCGACGGGGCAGAGACCTTGCAGGGAGCAGGAGGGAGAGGAGTCGACGGACGAGGGGCTCGCGAGCATCCCTCCTGCGTCCCCTCCCGTACCCCGGCCCCAGGAGTGGGGCACCCCGGGCTCTGCATCCCGGTTCTTCATCCCGGTTCCGTATCCCAGCTCCGTATCCCCCCCTCTGCATCCCGGCTCCGCATCCCTGCTCT